GGGGTCGGACTCGATGATCTGCTCAGGTCCCCTCCGACCCGACTAACTATGAAACCCATCAGCAAGGGCATCGGGCCGGTGGTGGGGGCGGCCGGGGGCTGCGGGTCCTACCGTGCTGCAGGTGGTAGAAAGGGAAGTCTGGGATGTGCGTGGAGTACTCGGGCTGTGCCAGGAGCCCCCCCGGCAGGGCGTTCCAGAAGAACTTGGGCCGGGACTGCCGCCCAAACACCCGGTCCTTGATGATCTGGGGGAAGGAGGCACGGTCCTTGTCAGCCCCACCAGGCCCAGCCGCCCACCTGGGACAAGAGAACCCAGCCCAGACCCTTTGCATCGCATGAACGGCGCGTGCTGCACTCAGCTGCGGGTGCAGCCCCCTGAAGCGCCCGGACCTGCCGCTGAGGAGTGCTCTGTGTTTCTAACCCAGGATGACACCAGTTGCACCCACGACAACGTGGCTATCCGTGCCTGGAGGGTTACCACGAGGCAGCCTGGCACTGGCTGCGGGCTGTGCCAGCCTTTGGGGAGCACTGGCTTTGGGGGGAAGGTGAGATCAGCCCTCCAAGTGTTACTCTGGGGCTCGAAGCTACATGACACCGATGCCAACCCAGCACGCGCCGTCTCCTGCAGCGAGACATCCCTGCTGCTTCTGAACGGCTCCCAGCCTCTCTGTGCAAACAGGGCTGCGGGCTGCAAGACCCAGGCTTCCTGGAGCTCCCTAATCTGGGCCCTGCTAGAATAACTGGGCCCGCTGGCTTCCAAGGGAGCACGCCAGCCTCCCCCCGTCCTAGCCTGGCAGGCGGCTTAGAGCTGACGACCCCGGGCAGATCAGCAAACCCCAGTCCGTGTCTGAGGCATCCTGTTTTGCCTCCAGGACAAGCCGTTTCCATCCCATTCATAGATTTCATAGACATTTGGGCTGGAAGGGACCTCGGAAGATCATCGGGTCCAGCCCCCCGCCCCAGGGGCAGGAAGTCAGCTGAGGTCAAAGGATCCCAGCAAGATAAGCATCCGAACGTCTCCTAAAGGAGTCCAGAGTAGGTGCCTACGTAGGAACGGACCCGAGTCCTCGGTGGTGCGGAGTGAACTCTGAACAGCCCTGAAACCAGCACGTCCCAGGGCCAGTTCTCTCTTCATCCCCGGCCCTGCAGCTGAACCCAGGCCCCTAAACAGCTGCTCTGCAAGAGATGCTAGCCTGCCCCCTCCCCGCAGTGCCTCCTGCTTTGGGAAGCTGGGGCTGTGAGCTTCCCCACCGCTGGCACTCCTGCCACTCTACAGGAAGGGGGGAGCTACCTGCCTGCCTGTCCTTGCTCGGACAAGCAACCCGCTCCCCAGAGCAGGTCCCAGCCCTTGAGCAGCCCTCACCTGGGGCCCCAGGGCATGGCAGGTGCAGGAGGGATGCCCGCAGGGTGGCACTCACCTCCAGGGCGGTCTGCACAATTTTTTCCACGGAGGAGAAGTAGGCTTCCCACAGGAACTGGGTGTGCTGCTGGAAGGCCAGGACCTTGTCCCTGTGGATGCAGCGCACGGTGGAAGGGATCTGGCCGCAGCAAACAGAGAGAGGGAGAGAGGAGGTAGATGCGGCCTGACACAACGGCCCCGTCAGCACGAGGCTTTGGGGAGCGGGTTTCTAACCCCAGCTGGGGGAT